ATATATATATATATATCTATATATATATCAATATATATATATATATACATGTATATATATGTATATATATCAATATATATACATATATATATATATATAAATTGTTGTTGTTGCATTTGAATTCACACAGCGGAGGACAAAGCGGTGCCATACTTTTACATACCGGTCGGGCTGCTGCTCCTTGGCAACGTGTTGCTTTTCGTTTTCATTTTCGTCAAGTTGACGAAATACCAAAGGGATCTTGACTTGAGGCGTCTGGCGAGAAATCAGCAGTCCGATCGGCTCGACCGGAAGTACCTGCGCCGTCTTATGCGCACCGCGATCGTTTGCATGATCGTGTTCTCGTTGATGGGCTTCAACTGGATGATGGAACTGATATCCTGGTTCGTCGACGGGGACTCGTTCGACTGGTCCTCCTTCGACCTTATAAACGCTCTTCAAGGTGTCCTTATCTTTGCCCTGTTCGTACTGCGAAGGCCACCGAGAGACTTCGTCTGGCACAAGATACAACAGCTTCGTGGCATCAACAGCGTGGCAGCAGACGTGGAAGTTGAAAGCGTGGAACTCTATCTACTTCCAACGATGAACGGCGATACTCTGCCCAGATAAACGGCCATCCCATGCAAATAGAATCTGTTTTCTCTTCTCGGTCCTTTCTCGAATTCGTTCAGCACGAAGGGATCAACTGCCGAAAGATGTTTTTTTTCTACAGTTCCTCGACAAGACGTACAATTTTTCTTTTTACGACTTATTTATAAAGCATCGAATTGATAGCATCGATACATTTACTTTATGAGATAAGACTTATTAAATTATTTATTCACGTAGCATATATCTCTCGTCAGAGAGATTTATCTCTCATATCATTCTAATTTCGTCTAAATCTTCGGAGATTTATGCGCGTATTTGCATTTCATTTTCGATCCCTGTGAATACACTTCTGCACCCTAAGGAAAAGACTTAAAAAAAAATGGACAATTTTCTACAGTTGAGATAAATTTCATGACATTTAATAATCGTTCGATTCTTGAATTTATAATTGTATTCGAAGTGACTACACACACACACACACATATCATATTCACATGATCCTGATAGTAGTGGTATAATTCTTAGAAACTTGTTTCGATTATGTAAAAACTGTCTGCAACTCATTTTACAATGACATGTTGAAATTGTGATACTTGTATACCGATTGCATAACAGTAAGAAAACCGGATAAATTCTATTACGATACCTTAGATCGAATCCTTTGAATCTTGTATATCTTTATCGTTAATGTAACAATTTCCAATGATAAATGTATAATATTCGCTAGTTTCATTATTTGTCACTTACACAAAATCTGACAAGTAGAAAATTTAATTTCTGTATTTTTCAAACTATCCTGACGATCATTCTCATATTTTAAAATAAACGAGAATTAGCTGCTTGTGTTAGCAATAAATTAATTACGAAATATAAGCGACAATGTTACATTTTTATATTTTGTAGTTCTTAGCACTTGGAAATGCAATGTTTATTATTTATTGTAAGATTTTTCAATCATTCATGTGAAATTAAATGCATTCTTGCAATAAATATTGTATTCTATGTACATCTATAAAAACAACAATAAAAAAGGCGATGAATGGTACTTCAAACACTTGTTGACACGAGTAAAAAATATTTTTATTTGTATTCCTCCCGAGACTACATTATACATTTGTTCGCTCTATTTTTGCGTTTCTCTACTATACTATATAAAAATAAAACAGTATAGGTTTGTACAACCAAACCTACTATTAGACTATGTCAATCGAACCAAAGGTTTTCCCTATTAAGCTAATAAATATTGATAATTATCTACGAGTGTGTTTGTTCGTATATTAGGTGCGCAAAAAATAATATTAGCACACTTGTTATAAGCTCTGAAGCGTCAGACGATTAAATACTAATGCCTTATTGGGTAATAAACCCGACAGCAAAACCAGGTACTGAAAGTAACTTTTGGACATTATCAGAAAATCAGAGTGTCGTATAAATTACACTGTGTCATTTTGAGAGTTTCACATCTATGTACATAAACCTATAGCCATTTATCGTTATTGTATTATCCAGCAAATATCAAAATTTTATAGAACATTTTACACTGAATCGACAAAATAAAAGCTAGATTTTATTATAAAGATTTCATTATGAGAATTATAAAAATATAGTTTTCTATAAAATTATCTGTCTTTAAATTGCTCAGATGGAATTAATTCACAAAATAGGTATTACTTGCTGGATAATGCAATACTTAATCTCTTCTCATTTTATCATTTTCGCTCGAATTTTAAGAAATTTAATTTCAGTTTATATACTATATGACAATGCAACGTATATAATATAAAATTAAGGGTGTGTTTAAACCCTTTGTGGTCCTTGTTGGTGCAAAAATTATTTGTTCTTTAGCATACTGTACTAAAACATATATCGAGTTCAAAAATTAACCATGTGTTACTGATTATTCTGAATATGTTAAAGAAATTAATTTATCAAGTAGGTCTATGATGCCCTGGAAATGGTGGACTAATGCCTAAAATTCCAACAAGATTTCCTCGTTGAGCAACATATACCAAACGATACATTCCTGGTGATCGAAGAGCCGTATCGCTAAAGTAAATTCGTTCGGTGATTGAATGAGGTTCAAAAGGAACTGGAGACGATTTACCTAACATAAATCTTCGTTCAAAGACTCATTAAGATAACCACGATATATATGTATATAAAACAAAAATCAATTAATGTATTTAAAGAATTACGACAGACATCTTACCTCGACCTACATATTCATAAACGATGTATTCGTCTAGACTGGAAAATTCATTATGAAAAAGTCCTACCCAGTCGCCGCTGGCTGGTCTCGCATCTCCTAATAATTTGTATGATACTGAATTTTCTTCATCTATAAACCATGACGACACAGGTTGGAATTCTACACCATGATCTCCTACATGTGGTCTGATCTGTAAATATAGTGTAAATTTTTATAATAAAACAATGGATCATTCATTGTGCTGCACAGAGCAAATCTTACAATAATATCGAACTCTCCTGTAACAGGTTTATGGTCTGATTGTATGTAATTGGAATGACTTTTATAATTACGTTGAATAGCATTCAATCTAATATCATCATAAATATCAGCATTTACTCTGTACAAAATTCTGTCAGTCCATGATGGTCGACGCCTGGAAATTGGAAAATTTTTAGTTAAAAGAAAATTGCAAATATAACAAACTTATCTTACTTGAGATCAAATTCTTGAGATGCAAATTCATATTTATAAGTAGGAGGAAATGTAACAGAATTTTCATTCAATTCGGAGAAAGCTTCACCCTTTTCCATTACCATCTTCAATTGATCTCTAGCTAACAAACACTTTAGTTCATTTTTCCTAACTAGCATGTCTATCTCTGTGGCAGTCAAATCCTCTCCGTGTAATCGAAAGTTTAAGTCACCGATCCAAAATACATAGCTGTATAGAGAAAAGTGGCATTTATTTTAAATTTATAGATCAAATCAAATTAACTTGGAAGAAATTACTGACTCGTGAAATAATATTTTTGAAGTATCTGAATTACTGAAACTATGACTTGTGAGTATTGTATTATAATCCATAATTCTGTCTGTCAATAAATGGTCATGCGGTGTCAAGTGTGTATTTACTACACACATGTTAATTCCATACATATTTAGTCTTATACTAACTGCACCTTTATTTCCCTGCAAATAATATTTTTTTTATTAAGAAAAGGTTAAAAGAAACTCCTATACAATTGTAATTTCTTCTTACCCACATGCCTCCACATCCTGTTCGTGTATATTGAGTCTCTATTAATCTTAAATGCGTGATATGTTTTCTCAAACAAAAGATATTTAAAACTAGACCCTGCAACCGTTGTGTACGTATTTTTACGTAATCGTAGTTCTTCAATACTTCTCTGCAAAAATTTTATCATATCGTATCATTTTCTTTTACATATTATTTTTAACATAAGTTAGCTTTAGAAATTCAATTGTTAATCTATATAAACAATTAAAGTTATTAGGACAATACCTAAAAGATTTAGTCCATGGATCTTCAAAAAACATATCCATCACCATATTTTGTGGTTGAGCTTTAACTTCTTGTAATCTAATATAATTTATAAATATAGTTATTTCAAAGATGATGTACAAATTTGTGTAAACTGTACATACCCAATAAAGTATAAATCTGGTAATGTTCTAGTCTCGTTAGTATGATTGATATCGAGAAGTTCATGCAAATCTTGCTCTGGATATTTAGTTGCCACATTCCATGTGACAAAGTAGATTCTAAAACATGTAAGCAATTTTTCATTATTAAAATTATTTGTAGTTATAAAGTACAGATGGCAATAAATTAATCACACAAAATGTAAAACAAAAGAGGGAAGAACACAAGGGATAAAGTTTGATATGCTTAGTTAAAAAAATACTGAATAAAAACACAAATACATAAAAAAATCACACGTTATACAACTTTACACGTTATACACTCACCTAAGATACTTCAATGTATCAGCCATTTTTAGGATAATACGATGTAAATTGGGAAAGAGTTACACAAAATTTTACTTTAACTTTGTTAGCATCTGGAATCAGATTATACAACGGTGACTATGCAATGTTTTCTAACATGCTTTCTAGGTTATACAAAGTAGTATACGAGATGTCAGTGATCGGTTAGGTAACTCTTCAGTTTTAAACTTACATTCAAATATAGTTAATAAATATATGGGAGATTTCACAAAAATCACATCACTTTTCTATTAGAATAGATGAATATAACTTTAAGTACAAAGAATCATACCCCTGACAGCTGTAAAGTAAGCAATCTCCCCTCCATTAAACCTAACCATGTGACGTCAAGATTACAATCTTACTCTCATCATATCTGCATTGTGTATGCACATTATGAATAAATATACATAGTAAATGTACATAATACATAGTATACATAGTAAAGTAGAGTTCCTTTCTTTCATTAAGCACAGCCGCAATCAAATAGAACTAATCACTAATATTTTAAACAGTAAAACAACTCGCATTAATTTATCTCTTGGTTATCTCTTGGTTATCTCTAAATTCAGGTATTTCGAAAGCAGAAAACTGGGCAAATAGATAAATTTATTTGTTCAATCATAAATTTGATTCATTAGAGTTGTTTTTCGACAGGTTCAGATAAATGGAGTTCTACTACTATAAATACATATGCACGTAGTATGCATTGCATGTCTCATTTCTCATAAAGAATATGAAAACAAAGATTACTGTAAATGTAAAACACTGTTATCAATGTTTGGGCATTTATAATCATTTCGTTTTATCATTTACAATAAGTAACTTAATCAAAAAATGTGTATTGTGTTGTAAAATATAAATACCTGAAAATTTTTATGCGCTTCTTCAAAGTTTCAACTCTGTTGTATTTACGTATACTGATCGAAATTTATTGTTCGCTATGCTCTATACACTATGATGTATATCCTGAAACTAAATTCTACTTAATAACGAGAGATTATAAGGGTAAAGAAATGAGTCATTAATAAGATAAGAATAATACGAAGAAAACATCTTTAATACATCTTCACAAATATTTCCCATCGTTATCGTTTTTTTTCTTACGATGTGAAAATTGATTTTTAATACAATGCAGAATATTAATAACAACAGGGCACAACAATTTTATCACTTCTTTTTTCTCTCCAGCTATTAACAAACGTATCGATCTCGAGTCACTTACGCCATTATCGATGGCATTATTTGCGATCCTCCTTGTGGATTCTCAATTATTTTTTTTTTTTTTTGCCCGAACAGGGGCTCGAACCCTGGACCCTCAGATTAAGAGTCTGATGCCTCTACTCTACCGACTGAGCTATCCCCACCTCTGCCCTTGTGGATTCTCAATGGCCAAGGTATAGCAATAAATAAATAAAAAAAAGAGACGTGTGAAAGAAAAATGGATCGTACCTTTATTATAATTTCTCGTCATCTCCGGTTGTTATAGTTTGTCTTATCGAAATAATCGAACGTGAGCCTCTATCGTGAGAAGCTAATAAAACGATCTCGATCGATCATTATTATTATTATTTACAAGAGTAAGAAAAGCAATATCTAATCTAAGAATGCGGAATGCAGTTCCCTTATCGAGTTCGCGGACTTTTTTTTTCGAAAGAATTATCAGAATTATCAATACATCATGCCGGGGTGGGTCGCTCGTTGAAAAAATACATTCGGATTTGCCGATAGAGTTGTGTACAGGTTTCCTGCGTCTTCTGGCCTCAGATACATGCCTGGTGGCAAGACGAACGTCTCCATCGGGCCGTGAACATCTGCAAGATATATTTAATTGATTACACGTCAAGTTTCTGCTCGTAAATTTTTACGTTTCTACAGAGAAACGTTGCGGTTATGATCCATTTCCGGTAACAATGGAGAACGCACGCTCGCTTATCCTTCCGGTTTTGTTATGCAGTAGAGCGTAATTTACGATAATTGTATTTGTTCACGTTTAATATAATATTTTTTCATTTCAATTTTTTTTTTTTTTTCACGAATTTTTGACCATACGTTTCGAAAGATTATGCGCGAAATACTGACACAGAAT